GACACGTCCGGGAACAGCATCACTTGGCGATCTTTGTAGAATATTTTACCCATTTGTCTTGCAGCATTCTGAACGGGGACTTTATCCTTGTAATTAAGGAACTTCATGATCAGTGGTCTAGGCGGGCCACCAGCAAGTTTAGGGCCAGAGAGCCGATGGGCTCGCTCGATAACAATAGGAGAGGCTGGCGGCGCTAATCTCAAGGCTTCAGGGAGCCAGGATTCCAGGAATGCGCAAATATCCTTCCCTTCTGCCGCTTCAGGTAAATTCACCAATCGTAAATTGGATATTCTGCTCCTGTTCTCAGAGCTGTCCAGTTTCGAGGTAAGCTTGGCAACTTGTTCTTCTAGGCTCACGGCTCTCCTCTGCAGGGAGACGACGTCATCTTCGGCGTTTGATATTCGCTCCTCCGTCTCGGATATTCTCTTCTGACAATTGGTCAGCTCACTTTTAACGCTGTTGACTGCTGCAAGTAGCCCATCCAATTTAGACGAAAACTCTGTCTTCAGGCCATTTATTGCTTGTAGGATAGCATTGTCGGTGTTGTCAGTGGTAGCGTTAGCTTCTGAGCTACCCTTGCACTCCTTGCTAGCTGAGTTGTCGCATTGTAGCGTGGCCATGGCGTCCTCACTTGCTCCGTCTTCTGTTCAGTCTTCTGACTTTTTTTTCTTTTTTTGACGGTTTCTGTGGCATAATGGATGTTGCGGGGGTTTAGAAGCAAATACAATGCAGTTTTAGGTGGGTTCCGATTAATTAGAATAGGATTTTAGTAGGAATAGCAACCGTGCTGGGGAGTGTCAGCCTCTCAGCTCAGCGCCATAACCGGAAGTCCACTTTTCTACTTTTACTTGAGGAACATTTTGAATGCAGGACTTCTACTTGTAACAAAGTATTCCTACACTCTGGTACTTCTACTTTTACTTAAGTACAATATTGTATTACTTCTTCCACCTCTGAAAACAACACTGATGTCCTTTTGTATTTCACTGTACAGACCTGCAGCATCCTACTTGTCCACTAAACGGAGCTGTTAAAGTTCTGCACTTTGAACGGAGTAATACACCTTTGAACCACCAGAGTGCACTACTACTTAACCATTTGAGGCTCCTAACAGTGTTTTGAGAATGATGAGAATCAGAATACCTTCATTCGTCCCACAGGGGACATTTACAATGTTACAGCAAAAGTGAAGAGCCAAACATAGCAAAATATTAATTAGGAGGCATGCATGAAGATGAAAACAGAAATTATTACACACATTTACAAAAATAATGATAGGCAATAGATTTTTAATTTTGTATAAGTATAGTATGTATAAAGTAGTGTGATAGCAACGTAGTTCAAGTGGAAGTATACTGTATATATTATGAGGTAGTATAAGGTATCCTGCATTGTTTGCCATGGTGCTATTTTGTGTGGGTCCCTCTCTGTTTCCAGTGCATTAGTCCCTGGTCAGATGTACACGGTGGATGTGTTGACTCAAAGTGGAATCAGACCGGATGAATTTCCCTCCACCAGCCACTCAGCTGGACCCCTGCAGTTCTGGACACGTAGGTTACATATCATCATTCAAAAGCTATTAAAACAAGCATAACAACACGGCTGGTCGTTAGATCACTCCTGTATTAAAAATACAACACACATCTCTGCACATCAGCACAGAGCGTAGATATTAGAGAAGCCAAAGACAGCCAGTCTAAATGACTTTGACAGTGACCAATCAGCATGAGGACAGGCGGGTTCATTTTTCATTGATGGACTGATAGTTTAATGTGTTGTTGCCTAATAACAACATACCTTGCTATCTGTTGTAAGTTTCAACCCTGACATCCAATTATTGCATCATTACTATTAAAAAATAATAGTCATCTATATTAAAGTATTGTATTACATTATCTTAGATCTTGTACTTGAGTAAAAGTAGAAGTACCAGAGTGTAGGAATACTCTGTTATAGTAAAAGAACCTGCATTCTAAATGTTACTCAAGTAAAAGTAGAAAAGTATTAGCATGAAAATATACGTAAAGTACTAAAAGTGAAAGTAATCATTGTGCAGATTGGTCCATCTCAGAATAATATATATGATATGTTTTATAATGATTGATCATGAAAGTGTTCTCAAAGCTGGTAAAGGTGCAGCTAGTTTGAATGACTTTGTACACTGCAGGGTAGCTTGTGTATTTACTCCAGGTGGAACTAAAGTCTGATTTAACACTTGATTATATTTCACATCATTCATCCACATCTGTGAAGTAACTAAAGTTATTCAATACATGCAGTGGAGGAAAAATAGACTATTTACCTCTGAACTGTAATTGGTCATAAGTTTGAAGAAAACTAAATACTCAAGTAAAGTACAAGTATCTCAAAATTGTACTTATGTACAGTACTTGAGTAAAGGAACTTAGTTACTTTCCACCATTGAACAGCATACAAGTCCAGGTGACAAATGTTTTAAAGCACAGTACAACAAACTGACAGTGTAGGTGAGAATCAGTTCAAATCAAGTTAAAGAACAGTTACTTGCAAAAAGAATACTTTCGCTGCTATCAATGAAGAAATGTGAGCATCCACATGTGTTTTCCCCTCAGGGCCTCTCCCCCCACAGAACCTCTCCCTGTCACATGTGACCACTAACTCAGCACTGATCACCTGGAGCCGCTACCCGAGAAACGTCCCAGATGGCTTTGTGGTCAACGTGACCCGAGGGTTGAACACGAGGAGTCGCTTCCTGCCCAATGGGAAGCTGGGATCATATACCCTGCGTGAACTGACTCCAGGACAGCAGTACCATGTGGCTGTAACGTCGGTGAAAAGCACAGCGCAGGAACAGATCCACAGTGTACACCAACACCTAGCCTTTACTACCTGTGAGTGAAAACATGTTTATAACCCTTTCATTTACATAAACACATGCAATTAGGTGTGTTTTCAAAGAGCCTTTCAGTATCATGAATGCCTTAGAGGTCAGTGAGACAAAAGAAAAAGATCTGCTGATTCCTTTTCTCAATTGCAGGGGGGTCAAAGGTTTCCCCAGAATAATATCATGAAGTTCCTCAAAAATGTTTTTCATCTGTAGACAAATCATGTTGTTTACGGAAGCTTTAGTCAAACAGGAGATACAACTATTTAGAAAATGATTTCTCACATTGTTGATGCCCAGCTATTTATAACTATATAAATATACAATTTAGCTTCACTGAATCTATCAAATGTCATATGATAACAAATAAGTCCGTAAAATAGTCTCTATTTAGAATCTAGCAGAATTCTTTGAAATTACTTCTTAAAACTCTCTTTATTAAAGCCTTTCATTAATAATACCACTACTTGATTTGACTCTATATCCATGTTTGATTTCATTTGACTTTCTTTTTTATATTGTTGCAACGTTGTATAGCTATCGTGGTGGGTGGGGATTGTTGACCTCGTCTTCTGTTTCATGTTAGCTTTGTAACTTTGTTTTGAATAGTGCTGTAGAAATAGTTATTATTATTTGTATTATTATTATTATGATTATCTTTGACCCAGTGCCAATAGGTGAAATATCAGAGAGAAGAAAGAGGCCAGCCGGGAATGGACAGGGGGCTCATGTGGGACACACACTTCCCCCATCTCAGCCCCAGGACCTGGGGGCTACAACAGAAACAGAGAACTCAAAGGAGCTGCCTAGGTAAACGCAGAGTGTAGGTGGTTATTAAAAAGGGGGGGTGGATCAGGGTCCTTTGCTCTGCCTTTCCTTTCTGTCTCCTCACAGTCAAATAAAAGAGGAAAGGCCACAGTGTGTCCACTCATATGTCTAATTGAAAATACATTTTGACTGGTTGCCAGAAGCATACAACTTGTTTTAGAAGATGTTGATTCTTTCCGAGATAGTATGGTATTTATTATTACTTATTTTCTTCTTTCTTTTTTGTTTCTTTTTAATACCAATACCTCTTTTATTTAGTTGTTTGTTTGCAATTCTATTTTTAAAGTCTTTTTTTCTTAATATTTATTTTTACTTTTACAAATCCCAGCATAAAGCTATTTACCTACAGTGGAGGAAATAATCATTTGATCCCTTGCCAATTTTGTAAGTTTACCCACTTACAAAGAAATGAACAGTCTGTCATTTTAATGTTAGGTTGATTTTAACAGTGAGAGTAAGAATATGACAAAGAAAATCCAGAAATTGACATTATATAAAAGATAAACTGATTTGCCTTTAATTGTGTGAAATAAGTATTTGATCCCCTAGCAACCAACAAGAATTCTGGCTCCCACAGACCGGTTACATAAGTCCTCTTCCTTTAAGAAAATACTCCTAATATCAACTTGTTACCTGTATAAAAGACACCTGTCCACAGAATCAACCAATCAGATTCCAACCTCTCCACCATGGGTAAGACTAAAGAGCTGTCTAAGGACCTCAGGGACCAGACTGTAGACCTGTACAAGGCTGGGACTGACTACAAGACCATGAAAGATCAGCTTGGTGTGAAGGAGACAACCGTTGGTGCCATTATTCAGAAATGGAAGAAAGACAAAATGAGCATCAGTCGCCCTCAGTCTGGGGCTCCACACAAGATCTGGCCCCGTGGGGTTTGATGATCATGAGAAAGCTGAGGGATCAGCCAGAACTACACAGGAGGAACTTGTTAATGATCTCAAGGCAGCTGGGACCACAGTCACCAAGAAAACTATTGGGAACACACTACACCATAATGGATCAAATGAGAAGAGAAGAGAGATGCTGACTATAACCCCAGAACACCATCCGTCAGCATGGAGGTGGAAACATTCTGCTTTGGGGTGTTTCTCTGCTAAGGGGACAGGACCACTTCGCTGCATCGAGGACGTGGGTCATGGATGGGTCATGGAGGGGTCTTCCAGCAGGACAATGACCCTGAACATACGGCCAAGGCAACAGTGATCTGTGGAGGGAGCTGAAGCTTCCAGAGGCCAAGCATCAGCCTCAAAACCTGAAGGGTTTGGAGAGGATCTTCAGAGAGGAGTGGACCAATATCCTTCCTGAGATATTCACAAACCTGGAGACCAGCTACAAGAAGCGTCTGACCTCTGTGTGTCCAGCAAGGGTTTCTCCACCAAGTACTAACACATGTTCCGCAATGGGGTCAAAGACTTATTTCACACAGTTAAATGCTAATAAATGTTTATCTTTTATATAATGTCAATTTATGGATTTTCTTTTTGAAATTCTTATGATTTCCTCCACTGTATATACAGTACATTGGCCTGTCTGGACATTGAAAGTTCTTGATCCTTGTATGCCGTTCAATAAACAACACAAACAGAACATTGGTAAGACTTTCATCTGGTAATCCAGCTGTCCATGCTAAACAACTTGCTTTTCCTCTGCAGATACACAGAGCTCATTGACAGAAGGGGAAAGATAACAGCTAAGTTTACTCACCTGCCTCGAAAAGCCGTTCGACATCGCACCAGTAAGTACAATAAGTAGAAATAAACATTAAGGAGAGTGTTACAGTTATAATACTAAAACATGAATTCTGTTGTTTACTGTTTTTTTTCCAAACGGTAATGTTGCACCCAATAAAGTAATTCACTGTGCTTCCATGCAGAAATGATTGACATCATTCTATGACATCTAATAACATGCCGCACCAACATATTCAACAAGTTCTGGTTTTGCTCAGGATGTTCAAAGAATTAAAGTCAGTCTTTTATGGTCGTAAGCATCAATGATAAATAGGTGTTACTCTAGTGTAAACTAGAATCAGATCCAGTTATCCAACACATGCTGTCCATTTTATCTAGCAGGGTTTAGATGAAACCAGACAAGTCAGAAAATGTATGGAATACACTTCCTTTGTTCCCTTTTAATTCTCATATGATAATGTTTCATAGTGTATTTAACTCAATGCATCCCAGTGCAGTGGTTTATGGTGTATATCCTATAGGGACAAATTGTTCTACAGATATTATCTTGTGCTCTAGACCAGTGGTTCTCAACTGGTCAGGCCTCGGGACCCACTTTTTCCCTGGCCAATAGATCGTGACCCGAAATTTTGAACCACTCTATTCAACAAAAAATCCTGCAGTAATATATACGCTTTGCAGCATACAATATTAATTAAAGTGAAGTACAGTGCATATATCCCTTATATCCCTTCACAGAACAAAATAATGCTTTTAAATAAGATTTAATGAGATGATGGAATCAAAGCTCAACTGTATAACATAAAAAGGCACACATGCTGAAAACCTAACCCCAGAAGGGGGGTCTGGGGGGATTGTCCCCCAGGAGATT